GGTAAAGAGCGGTTTTCAGTTATACCTCAAAAACTATTCGAAATATCAAAAAATGTTTTATATAAAATATACCTCTATTTATTTATGTCAATAATATTTTTAATAAACCATTTTTTTAATAAAATTTTTATTTTTTAAAAATATTATTGACATGGCTAAACAGAAGCGATTTTATTGTAAAAATTTTGTATAAAACATTTTTTGATATGTCGAATAGTTTTTAAGAACGACAAAAAAAGCTAAAATCCACGTTCTTTATAAGGAGTGAATTCACTCTTCAAATTGTTTTTCCGCTGCAACAAATATTTTCTAAATTCATCTTTTCATGTAATATATACATTTCATGTATACAAAGTTTTATTAATATCAGAATGTAATACTTCATGTGATTCCCTTGTAAGATTAAGACTCCTAAGTAGTTGCGGCGGCCATATTGGAATCGTGACATCAGAAGCGAGGAATGACACATAAATTTATATTGCAAGCCATTTGTAAATAAAAACAATTTGAAAATCTAAATAACGAGATTGCTTTAAAATACCTGTAAACAAATGGGCAGAAAATGTTCTTTTCTTCCTTAGTCAGTAAATGATCGTAAAAGGTAAAGTGAACCTAATTTTGAGCAGAAATACACGGTTTGAACAACTGTTGAAATGAATAAAATATACGCTTTTACGTATAAAGTTCCAGGATAACTATAGTTTTTGTCCATTTTTAGGCCTTTCATAAGTACGAGATATGTTACATTTTCACAATTAAGCAAATAATAACGAAATGGCTTGCAGCATAAATTTCGTCGTCAAAATGTCACTTTTCCACGCTTATAAGTTCAGTCATTTATCGTAGCGAGGCGCTATAACACACACAGAAGCACGAGCCCACGTACATGTGTTTGCTTTCGGCGTGCCGAGAGTACATGGACTCGTGCTTGTGTTATGGGGCTACCGATTTCGCGATATTTCGCCAGGCCGTCGACTGCTTTTGAATCGCATGCTGACTACTCAGAAGTCTTAATATGAAAGAAACAATTTTAAAAACAAGTTAGCATTTATCAGTCAACAAAATAAAGATAAAATTAATGCAGTTTGTATGTTTATATGTCTAATTACATAATACAGGCAACAGCAAAATCAATTAATAATAAAAAGAATAATAATAAAATTAAAAAAAAAATAAAATAACATAATAATAAATAAAATATAATAATCATACATTTAATTAGATCAAATTTAATTTATAAGATATAAAGAAGAGATAATCTTGCTAAAGTTATAAAATGTAATATTATGGTAACTTAATTATAAATTTTGCTATATAACTTTTTTTTCGAAAATATGTACAGATTGAAAGCAAGTGTACTTAAAAGAGAGAGAATATATCATTTCAGAAACAATACAAAGCATCTATTTAATAACACAACATATATATATATATAAATCTGAATTCTTGTATCATTTAATATTTGTATAATATACTGTTATTTTTAAATTATTTTAAAACATTGAATGTAATATAATCAATAATTGATTATTAATATTAATGCTGTGTTGTATCTCTTATTATTCAATGATATAAAATCTTCAGTAACAGAATATGTGAATTTCATTAATAATTGAATAAAGATGTTAGAAAAGTGTATACAAAGAATGCAATATTTTACAATTTCTGGCAAAAATATGAAATTTTCTTTAGATATCTCCTATTGCTTTTGGAATGATTTATTCGCTCCTAAGTGTCTTAAATGTGCATTGCACTGATTTAACATCTTTAAGACCTTTTCTTATACATTCAAGAAAGCGATAAAAAAGTAGCAGAAAGAATTATAGGATTTGCAAGTATGAGTTATGTTCTTACCTTACTGTTAGGAACCTTGACATCGCACCATCTGCCATCTATCATATGACGTTGAGCAAGGCATCTCAATTGCGACTCATAACTTCCAAATCGAATAAAGCCAAATCCTTTGCTTTGACCGGATTTTGCATCTTTTTTTACCTACGGCGAAAGTGATCTTTCATAATCAGAGCGTACAACATTTTACTTATATGAATAAAATATTCTGCATTTTATTTATACTTATTATTTGTATTTATTAGAAGTACATTACCAATATATAATGCATTATAAACATTTATCTAATTAAATTTATTTATTACTGTTCATTACTACTATTATTATTTATTAATTTATTTATTAATTTATTTTTTCCAAGTTAGTTATTATCATTGTTTTAAAAATATATTTCTATTATACTTAAAGAGTTATTATAATATGACTCTCTTATTTATCTAATGGATCAGTAAAGTTAAATACATTATTAGTGTAACGAAACACAAGATTCCTTCGTGTTTCTATGTCCAAGTGCAAACTTAAGTGCAAAGTAAACGCGGAAACTTACCTGTGCCATTAAAACTTCACCAAACGTTTCGAAATATTCACGCAAATTCTGTTCGGTTGTTTTCCATGGTAAACCAAGTACAATCAAGTCAGTGCAACGCAACTTCGTTTCCATTCTTTTAGTCTTAGCTGTGGAATTTTCCAAATTGTCATCAGATTTACGTTTGTTCTCTGAAAAGACATAATAGATATTCACGTCTAACCGATTCGTGATTTACAGAGAAAAAAGTAAAAAAGATGAAGAAAGAAAAAAAAGAAGAAAAGTAATTTAAAAATCTTCGAGTTACACATTAATTCTAACATTTGTCAAAAACGAAGCTAATTTCAGCAACTGATTGCAATACTCTTATGGACCATGAGAACATTATTCCATTTAGCTGACATTCATTATAAAGTAGATAAATTAAAATGGATTTATTAAAGAAGACATACATATAGAAGTATCTCTAAAATGATCTAGTGTTCCATCAAACATGATTAAAGAAATAATTACTTTAAATAGGATATTTCAGGAGAACTTGGGCCAAACTCTGACTAACTTTATTGGCATCTATAATTTAATCGGCAGAATTTTTAATTACAATTCATTCTCCTTAATAATATCTTTTCTTCCATGCATTAGAAAAAACTCTGAATAATTCTATCCGTAAACATAATGAGCCTGTTTTTTTAAGTTGAACTTTTTACATGGTTCACTTTCTTTCTTTTCTCCCCATAAAAAGATGAACCATATAGAAATCCAGTTAAAAAGAATAGCTAATACAAGATTGTATCTGTATTAAGTTGAATAAAGAAGCTATATATTATTTCCATATTTAGATTAATTGGCTGCGTTTAAGCAAATAAAACTGTTCAGTGATTTTTTTAAATATGATTTTTGCACTTAGATTGCAGCAAAGAACTAAAGGCAAAAACTTATAATATAAGGATGAGCGCTTACTAATAAATTAATTTCTGCTGAACAACTATCAGAATGTCAACATTTTATGAATAGTACAGTTCACTTCATCAGAGGAAAAGAATAGTCCGAAATTAATATTCATGTGACGTATGATAAAGCCTATTAATTAGTTGCAGGTTCTTATATTTTTCTGATCTGAATACAGCCAATTATCAAGACAAACTTAAAAAGTTTATCATTATAACACTAATTATGACACATAAAATATCAGACTGATTCTGTAGGCTACTACTCATTCTGGTTAAGTAAACTGCAATGTTCACGAAACGTTGGCAATCTAAAGCTATGTATATACTATGTATTATATATACTTTACCTAGCGAATGAATATCGAAATGAATATCGAATGATAACGAACGCAAAAGTTTGGCCGAAATCCATAATCCGTTCTTAATCTCAAGACAATTTTAAATAAGATGCTAATACGACTCTCTGATTGGTTCATGACATCTTAAGCCTTAGCTTAAGACAATCTCGAATCTTGAGCAACGTCTATGGATTCAATCTTTTGTGTTGTTATTTATATAAAAGTCACAAAAGTTTTTTAATTTATGTGCAATAAACATCGAATCTGATTGAATGCTAGTATTTGTAATCAAGAAAAAGAATAAACTGCTCACAGATACAAACATGAATGTTCGAACATTTGCGTTTGGTGTTCGTTTGCTAGATATATACGCAGCTTAACAATGGATCTATATAGACACGGAAATAATAATCCGTATAATAGTTTATAGAAACCTGTGAAAGCCTCAAAACTATAAGTTAAATAAAGGAAATTTGCACATATTATACACAGAAAAATATTCTATTATATATATTATTCAAAAAAATATTTTGCTAAAAAATTTAATTTATAATTACTCGATTGATTTTCATTCTTTTAAGTAACGTTATTAAACAAAGAACATTTTCTTGAAATAT